TTAACTACCTAAATATAATTTTATACATAAATAATGAGGTAAGTAAATATGACTTTGTGTTAATTATATAAATCTTTTGGTATATCTTCATTTAAAGTTATTGAAGAGTATGAGAAGCATCAGTAATAAAATAATCGTATTGAACTTTGCGACAGACGTCCAGATTGTAGCTTACTATTTAAGATCTATTTTACTTATTGTTTTACTTACACTATATTTTGTTGTCAGCTTAATATTCTCAAGAAGTGGCCATTGCTCTAGAAATGATTCAAAGATTCCACCTCAAAATACATCTGGATGCGAGAACGAGAACTATGGCAAAAATTATCATCCAGAAAAATGAAAAAAGAAACCGTAGTTAAATTTTTCCTAGAAAATACCTGAAGTATGTTTTCCCTTATAGTTAATTATTTTAAATTAGAAGTCAACTGTATGGAAGAAAATGTATCTCATTTGTGATAGATAAGTACATATTATTTATTTAATTGGTCCTCATAATTAAAGAAGTCTAAAATTAATGCAAGCTTTATACTGTTTTCGAGAGTATGAGAACATATTTGCTAGATTATTTTTAAATTTAAATATTGGAAAACAAAGACTCACTAAAAAAGGTGTCCTTTAAATAAGTATGGAGTTTTTTTTACAGATTGCTTTATATACAGTGCGGAATTTATCCAAAAAAAATTGGAATCTTACAAATATAATTTTGTAAAAAAATCAAAAAGGGCAGTTCGAAAATGATTTAAAAATACACTTCTGCATGGCACTGGAAACTGGTCCACTGTAAAACCTGACCTAACACAAGGCGAAGTGTAATAAAAAACGGACAAAAACTTGAAAGAATTTCGCAAGGAAAGAAATAAATAGAATCTTATAATACCTATTTTATATCAGGAAATTCAACTGCTTTTGCCGCTACTGTCATTATTAATTAATGGAATTAATTTGTGGTTTTATTTAATAAAATAATTTTGACATACCTGATGTTACAACAACTGTAAAAAATTTTATTCACCGACATGTAAACACATCTGGACCCGTCTTACACAGTTTCTACGAACTGACACAAATGTTGCCTTGTTTCACCATAACACAAATGCTTCACCATAAGTCCGAGTTGCTATATACGTAAGCCATTATTGACATTAACTACTAAAAAACTATTGTAAATACTATCGCAACGACGTTAATACTAACTGCCCATAGTTATTTCTAGGCTTCTCGAGTGCTCAAATTTGAAACAAATTCCGATCAAATTTTTTCAGGATATTCAGATTACAGATATAATAAATTTCGATAATATTACGCTGATCTTCATTTTCAACTTCTGCCAAAACGAAAATGTTTTTGAACATTTACTGAAACTTTTTAAAGAATAATATTCAGTTGGCGTTTTGGCTGTTCATATACATTTTTAAGAATTAACTTGTCATAATAAAATTAAAATTGTAATGTTTTAATTTTGACGCAATAATTTATTGAGTTATGTATGAGCAAGTGATGGTAATAGTTAATAATAATAAATGTTTTATTGTAACGCGTGGTGGTAATAGTTTAAATGACTAGATAGATTTCACAGGGTCTAACGACACTTACAGTGTACGATAATTCAATAAATAAAGAAAATTTAGATAAATTTGGAACAAATACACTGAAGATGAATTTTTCGAGACAAAACTTTTGAATCTGGTTCGGGCTGAGGCAATATAGTATTGGGGGTCATGAAGGCAAAAAATTTAATAAAATTTCTAGGGTCGTATTTAAAAAAATGAAGTTGATGATGGTCTAGGAGAGACGAAACGTTACATACAAAAATTGATTATGCCATTCGATAGAGGGCAAAAAGTGGCCACGAGAAAATGTAGTTTTTTTTCAATATCACCTCAAACAAGGCTGAAATTAAACAAAAACGGATTTCCAAAATTTCGGCTTTTTGGACATATTTCGAAAACTAATCATGTTAGCCTTGATTTTTTAGAGGCATAATGTTGGTCCCCTGATTACGCAACTTTGCCCCCATTTAAGCTACTTCGTACCTCTTACCGTTTCCGAGATCCCTGTAGTGAGAAGCGAATTTGTAACAGCCTGTTGTAGAATGATATCAAAAAAGTAACTCGAAAGAAGTGACGCTAAGATGGCAAATTGCAAAGAAGTGGCAAATTTACTTGTTTTTTTCACTTTTTTACTGCCCTCGAAAATAAAGACGACTTATAGGAGAATTAGTCATTTTATGTTGTAGGCAATTAAATTACCTACAATTAAAGGTATCTAAAGTAATATTTCACCAATTCGTTAACTGTAAAATAACGGTTGAACGTGGAAAAATCAGTTTTCGAAAATTGTGCATTATTATTGCAAAAACTGGATGGATGAAATTTATGGAAATGACGGTCAATCCAAAGAACAACATGTGTGCAAAAGACCGATTCGATTGACCGTGAAATTGTTGATATTTGTTAATTTATTTCGTTCGTTTTTTGGCAACTAATAATTGCTTAATTGCTTAACGTTAATTTTAGAAGTTAATATCGTGGATATAGGTCCTAATTGATTTAAAGAAACGTATCGAAAAAGAAAAATTTCAAAAAGTTGAAAATAAGTAGCCCTTTGCAACTAACTAAAATTTTACATTAATAGTTCATGTAATAAACGCACTAGCAGCTGTAAAAAACGTTAATGAACAGCTATCCGCAACACTTGAATGGTAACTATCGTTAAAACCATACTTTGTTTCTCGTCAATTTTTATCGCATTTGCTCCGCTACAATTTTTTATTGTTATCAATTTTAAGCATATACGAGTATGTACAATATACGTATATGCATGTAAAGTGCGTTCCAAAGTAAACAGGACTTTTCAAAAATACGTATTTCTAATGAGGCCATCTAGTGGCAATTATATGCGTCGTTATTGCGTTTGAACTGAAGTGACAGTATGTTTGTGTCATCAGTACAAAAATGAGCCTCGAACAAAGAGCTAATATTAAGTTTTATTTTAAACTTGGTAAAGCTTTTACCGACACGATTCAATTGATGAAGCAAATTTATGGTGCTGATTGTTTATCCCGTGGCAGAGTTCATGAGTGGTATACGCGGTTTAAAAACGGTTGTGAGGCCTTAAATGATGAGCAACATATTGGCCAACCGAAATCCGTGATCACGCAGATTCCATCAAAATCTTCGTTGAAATTCATGAAATTGGAATTGGGCATCTCAAAACATCAATTTGGGTCGAACATTTAGGCTACCCAAAGGTGTGTGCACGTTTTGTTCCGCACCCGTTGACTGACGAGAAAAATTGCTCAGAACTCACCATTCAAGTCCATCATCAAGGAGGCCAAAAAGACAAAAACTGCCTTTACAACATTGTGACTGGTGATGAAACATGGTGATCCAGAATCCAAGCGCCAAAATGCCGAGTGGAAGGCGCCAGATGATTCAAAACCCAAAAAATCTCATTCGGAGAAGTCAAAAGTGAAGACAATGTTGATTGGTTTTTATGATTCCAAGGTAATTGCCCACAAAAAGTTCCTTCCACTGAGCCAAACCGTTACACACACACTCATACATAGCATCACACCTAAATGGAAGTGAATGAAGTGATGTTCACATTATTGTTTCAGCTCTGGCATTTATACGAGAAACCAGTGACCATCAAAATGTAATAGTAGGTAAGGTACTCAAAATACATAGTGCTTTCGAAAAGTAACGAATAAATTCATTATTTTTTAAATTGAGAAGTTTTCGAAAAAATCCCCTGGCGTCGATTTTGTTTTTAAAAAAGGCACTTTTGACATACGACCCATATTTGTGACGTCATCGTTGTTCGAGATATGACGTCATCGACAATTTTTTTAAATAGCAACCCCCAATTTTGACCATGCCATTTGAAAGAGCGTGTCATTCGACATACGCATCATGAAAAATTAGGGTGTTATATAACAAAAATTTAAAAAAAATAATGTTTGAAGATTTTAAAATTTAATTTTCATAATACTGAAAATGATAATGATTATGTAAAAATCGACTAAATTAAATGTTCAAATTATGCACCGTTGGCTGCCTGACAGTAGCCAAGACGATTAATAAATTGGACATTATCAATACCTTCAGGAGGTATACGATGTATCTCGTAACGAATTCTTGCATTTAAATCTTCTAAATTGTTGGATAGGGAGAAGGGGGCCGATTGAGTGGCCAGCCAGATCGCCTGATTTGACACCCCTAGATTATTTCTTGTGGGGATACTTAAAAAGCAAAGTATACGTTACTAGACCGGTTAATTTAGAAAATTTAAAAGCAAGAATTCGTCACGAGATACATCGTATACCTCCTGAAGTTATTGATAATGTCCAAAACGAATTTATTAATCGTCTTGGCTATTGTCAGGCAGCCAACGGTGCACAATTTGAACACCTAATTTAGTTGATTTTTACATAATCATAATCATTTTCAGTATTGTGAAAATTAAATTTTAAAATCTTCAAACATTATTTTCTTGAAATTTTTGTTATGTAACACCATAACGTTTCATGTTGTGTATGTAGAATGACACGCTCTTTCAAATGGCATGGTCAAAATTGGGGGTTGCTATTTAAAAAAATTGTCGATGACGTCATATCTCGAACAACGATGACGTCACAAATATGGGTCGTATGTCAAAAAGTGCCTTTTTTAGAAACAAAATCGACGTGTAAGGGATTTTTTTTGAAAACTTCTCAATTTAAAAAATAATGAATTTATTCCTTACTTTTCGGAAGCACTGTATAATAAATTCAATTTGGTAACTTATAAAAGCAAAAAAATGAGTTGTAATTTTTTTTAGTGACTGGATACTGTAATTCATCCGTACGATTAGAATTTACTACGGATATTAATCGTAAACGTAGTATGAATGAATTCTGAAATCGGCTTGACGCGATAGTACAGCTGTCTCTAGTGACCTTTCTGTACTGTGCTTTGGTCTTCAAAACTAACAGGTTGACTGGAATTCGGACTTACCTATAGTGTGTGTCCTACTGCTCCTAAATGAAGACCTGCCCACCATGATTGGGTAAATAAATGATTAAATTGGAGACAGGTACGATAAAATGGATATGACAGACATAAGGCCACTTAATTATACGATCAGGTAATAAAATAAGGCCCCGATAGTCTTAAAAGCTACGACTAAGTCTACTATAATACAATACAGGCTCAAAAAGGTACAGTAAAAAACTATAAAAACTTCATTTACTTATATCGATATTGCAGAGGTAGAAAAAAATCAGTGGACTAAATAGTTTTTTTTTCCTTTTCGCAAAACCCGAATATTTGCGCTACTATATTAAGTACGGCGTGTCTGTATGCGGGAGGAGGGTGTTCGGGTAGAGGGGCGTGGGGGTGAGGGGCTTGGTCTGCCAGTGGCGCAATCGGGGGCGGCGTTGACGGTGGCGGGCGACTGGGGAGTACAGGAGGCGAGCATGGGTGCCGGCCGATCCAGATATCCCGGCCATGAACCGTTCTGAAACAAACACCATAAATTATTATTATTATTATTATTATTAGGTATTATTGTTACATTAGGGCAGAGCAAATTATAACCTAAAAAAGAGAGAAAATAAAATATACATGAGATTTGCAATGGCGTGCAATAGTGTTGACTTATCCTTTCATATAATGTTAGTTACTTTGAAAACAGATATGCATTTAGTTTTTTCTCAGAAGCGTTCATGATGGTGTACTAACAACACAACGACAACACAGCCCCACAAAAAAGTTCTGTACTAGAGACATGAGTACATAGATCTTGTGTATTTTTTGATACTGAATCCGAATCCGAACCCAAAAACGATCTACCAGGGTATTTTTTAGTAAAATGCTATATCCCCTAAAATAGGGTGAAATAAGGTATCCTCTAAAATAGGATAAGGATAAGGTAAAGCTTTATAATGAAAAGCAACAATATGTAAATACTTTGAGAAAACATTTTAAAATAATATTCTGAGCATTGGAAAGAAATATATTCAAATTAAATCCACACTCATCCCTACGAAGGGAAGGGGTTAATTCCACACCTAAGATCAAATAATGACTGTTAGCGCAAAACAATGTGAAAAACCAAAGCCTTGTATTTTATACTATCAAATATATAGGTTATATAGGTTGATAGACAGCATACTAAAAAATATAATACAACTTACGCCTCAAAGGGTTGGAACCACTTATAGTCCAGAGTTCCACTTGCCCCTTTAAGTCGCACATTTTTCTATTCAAAATTTTTGCTCCCTGATTTGATATATCTATCTGAATAAGGTTGATTTATAAGTGTTAGGTTAGTTAAGTTTCTAATATGCCAACACCATTTGTTTAGTCTAAATAATGACATACAATGCGACACAAAGAAGTTATAGTTATTTTAATCCAGGTACAATACTGTATGTGGCGCCCTCTAACATTAAACAAAAACCTAAGTAAATACATGATATATATTTGATAATTAATATAATGGAAACGTTTGGAAGAATATACCTTGAATCCTAAAGTGAGATACCCATTTATTTGTTTTTTTTTATTGACAGAACAGTAATTTGATATTTGTTTCATATACCCTCTTTCTTTTTTCTGGCGAATAACCCGGTTGTTGTCGAGATAAACTGCTTTGTGATGACCCATGTATAAAAGATACCGACAATAACATTTATTTTACAGTGGTTTTTTCCTAAAGTTTTTATTTTTGTTTTCTTTTAAGATCTAAAATATTTTGTAATGAAATGATCTTGTAATTATTTCATCTAAATGCCTATTTTAACCAATCTATAACAGACCAGTGACCACTAGGTTTTAAATGAAGTTCCTGTTGAAACAGATTAACTATAAAGTTGTATGAACTAGATAACTAGAATCAAACGTTGTGAATCTTGAGGGTTTTATTTATTACAAATTCGAGGGAAGGTTTCTACGTTTAGCGAATAAACGTTTTCTCCCCACTCGTATGCCACGGGCCTTCGGTGGACTAATTTTATTTTTGTGCCCTGTAAACACATGTAACGATTTATGTCTTTAATTAAAGATTGACGACTTAACGACACCACCTGTAAAACCCCGTGTTTGGATCGTAAAACTATAATTTACTATTCTAAATAATGGAAAAGCCGATTAATGGAAAAATCAAGGTTAGTAGGTGATGTAAATCGGTAAATTGTCTCTCTGTTAACGATTTTTAATAATAATACTGTTCCATATAATCAAATTTATACGTAGGAAAGCGTAAAAATAAATAGTCGATAGAATTTATAAAAAAAATCTCAAGGAAATTATTGACGACCTAGCTATAGCTCTAAAGTTTTTCGAAATGTCAAACAAACAGTAGAGTTGGGTGTCGCGAAAATACGGTAGTATTTAGCAATCAAGAAAATATTTAATAATGTAAATACATATATAGGGTGTGGCGTGTATAATATATAAAAATTAAACTACAGCTTCCTGATGATATTTGTAATAGAAAAGTCTTATACGAAAAAGTTCTATCTTCGCGTTTTTTTTTTGTAAATTAAAGTTCATTTATTCAAGGCCGACTCTGTGTTATTTATTAAAAACTTTGGAAATGTTTTTATGCGATCCGAGATGCAACCTTATAATAATATATAATAACTTATTATTTACGTCGGTATAATCTAATACTAGTCTAATACTAAAAGAAGGTTAGGTTACATTGTCAAAAAAATGTGTGCAGTCAACTGATTTTGTATTTGTATTGAATTCATTATTCATTTAATTATGTATTAAATATTAAGCATCGTCCATCAGTGTTAAAAAGTGAAAGATTATAGACAAAAGTTTTTATTTTGTAATTCCACGACAGTGACTGTAACTAGTAAAAAATAAGAATAGCGTGCAAATTACATTATAAACGAGATTCTTATTTCTTACTTTGCTTAATTTTTTAGTTTTACAATGAACCGAGAAAACAATGCATTTACTCGAACGTGTCGATATGGTGTTAGTGTATGGTGCAGCCGGGGAATATGCGCTCGCGGCGACTAGGTTGTACCGGGAACGAAGGCCGTAGCGTCACCCCCCATGTGCAAATACAATCCTACAGTGCGTTCAGCGACTGTGAGATACGGGAAGTGTTATTCCCGAGGAGAAGGATGTGATCAACAAGTGAACCTTAATGTTGAAGCTGCAGTGTTGGAAAATCTTGACGAAGAACCCACAATTAGTACTCGACGACTCGCACAGCAAGTAGGAACCTCATCTCGTACCGTACACAGCATCTTAAGGCGCCAGCTGTTGCACCCCTATCATCTGCAACCAGTTCAACAGATTTTATCCCCGGATTGTGATCAACGAATGCGTTTTTGCACATGGTTTTTATGTTAATGTGCCAATCAAGTGGACTTTTCTGCTTATGTTTGTGTAACAGATGAGGCGACATTTACCCGTGATAATGTGGATTTCCATAATATGCACATATAGGCCGATGAAAATCATTACGCGATTAGGGAAACTCATTTTCAACATCGGTTCTCGATAAATGTTTGGGCTGGCATAATAGGCGATGTATTTGTGGGTCCCTATTTTTTTGAAGGACGCATAATTGGACCAACATATGCTGACTTTTTGGAAAACCGGTTGCCTGAATTATTGGACGATGTGGCATTACAAGTTCGGACACGCATGTTTTATCTTCAATATGGGGCTCCTCCACACAGTACACCAGAAGTAGGTAACGACACTTTTGAATGAATTGTTTCCTTAGCGATGGATTGAACGCTTTGGTCCCGTGCCGTGGCCACCTAGGTCACCAGATCTAACTCCAATGGACTTTTATCTTTGGAGTCACTTGAAATCATTGGTTTACAATACTTCAATTGCTACGGTGGAAGAATTGCGAAACCGTATACTTGAAGCTGCTGACACAATTAGGGGAATACCTGAAATATGGAAAAATATTCGCCAAAATTGGGTGCTCGGTGTCATGCCTGTATCCGCGCTAATGGGGATCAATTTCAATTTCAAGTTCAAGTTCAAGTTCAAGTTTGATTTCATTTTGATCCATATTTTAATGAAGTTTGTTTAGTGCACGCAGTTGGCAACTACATATGCTTACGGATGTGGTTTTATTTGCGAACTCTTGCAGCAACAACAATGCATTTAAGATAATAATTACTATTAATTATTATAATAAGAAAATATAAGTTTTTTTAATATCTATTTTTCTTAGTTTGTACTTTTGCATTGAAAAATTACCCAAAAATTGAGAAGTATCTTTCTATCTTTCGACGACGATTTGTTTACGCGGTTGGTCTACAGCACGTAACTCATCTTACAGCACAAGGACAGGACCGTTCCAGAGAAAATATTTTGATCCATAATTGAAATTTAATTTACGAAAAAACAAACAAAACGCAAAAATAGAACTTTTTCGTATAAGACTTTTCTATTTCGAATATCATCAGGAAGCTGTAGTTTAATTCTTATAGATTATACACGCCACACCCTGTATAGAAGCGTGAGAACTAATACAACGAGGCTAGTCGTCTGATAATATATTCTTGATTAACATACAAAGTTAGATGTGTCTCATATTTAAAAATTATTATCTTCATAAAGTAGAAAATAATTACCTGTCACTATTATTATAAATATAAAATATTGCCAACATTGCAGGGCTGGTACTGGTAACGAATAATCCCTAAATGTCGCGTCATCGATATTAATGATTCGTTTTCAGTGAACAATGACAAACCGTTACGTATGCGCTCAAGATATGCGATCGCTGATTGGTTGAAGCTACAAATAGTATTGTCTACAATTCAACACCATTAACGCCAATGGATAGGAATTAATTACGCAACATCCGTACGATAACTGTGCAACAGTATACTAAAGTGACGTGAACGTTAAAAGCATTCTGACGCAGCGATTGACCCGCTTGGCACGCCATTGAATTGCGGTTCTCTCTGACAGCCTTACTGATAACTAATCATAATCTAGATTCGACTAACAACTAACTGAATATTAATTTTTAACGTTTATTAAGCCACTTTCGTCTTATTATTTTGATTAAAATTTTTCATAGATGCAATCTGTCAAATGAAAACAAATCACTTGACCGAAAAAAAATAGTTCAAGATATTAATTTAAACAAATAGGGACATAGTGGTCTATCCTCAATAAATACCTACAATATGAAACATTTAAAATTCTATGAATATATAAAAATATTTAAGTTTATAGATTACATGTTGACGAATAAAATAGGCACCTGTTTTTATGGTTTATTATACTTCCTTAATTTTTAATATCTATAGTATCTATCATAAATTTAGTCTGACTATTTAATCCCGTATAGCTGTTTTACATTGACAATTAATTCATGAATAAATTCACGAAGTTCTTCATGAATTAATTCACGGATTTATTCATAAAGGGTTTGTTTGTACACTGCTACAGACTGCGTGAATTTATTTGAACATAAATCAATTCTACAAGCAAATCAAACAAGCAAATAAATTT